ATTACATCGAACTATATGCAAACTAATACACAAGTTGTCCGTATGGGGATTGTAGATGAATAGACAATAAGCATAATCAATGAAGAATTAATAAATCAGAGAGGGATGGAGGAGAAATTAGTATCTATGTGAGATTATTATTATTATTATTATTATTATTATTATTATTATTACTATTATTATCTCTATTATGCCTATTAAGTTATTTCGATAGACCTATATGAACGCAAATTTCACAGGCCAATAATATAAACCGCTATATATAGATGAGTATTTTACCGCACATGGTATGCGTATAGTTTTCAGTAGTAGATTGAGAGCGTTCAGTGGTGCTGCAGTCGCCGGAGTTGCTATAGGCATACGTGTCAAGGAGAGAACAAGGTTCGAGCTTTACTTGCATTAATTGCCATAATATACGCCTAGATATGTACGAATCATCCTATCAAATGCTAGATTTATATTTAATAAATATATATTAATATAGATCTCCGTTAATTATTCGATGTTTAGATATGTATTTTCAGATTATCCGTTACAACGCGAGTGGCCTAATGAAACGTGACTTACATTTCAGCAAAATGTTTTAGCATTACGCCATGCACTTAGAGGCTATATCAGATCAATCAAAGATGTAAGAAAATCTCACAAAGAACTGTCTTCAGTGATTACGCTTCGGAGGGGTCCCTCACTCCTGTTTGGATTATTCGACCGATTTAGAGATGTGCATGCAGGTACTATACACGCGCGTGTGAAAGCGCGTGGGCGCCTTCCATGTTTTACTATGGTCGTGTACAATAATACGCTATGAATTCTAAGCATAAAAACAATATTGGGGATTTTCCACTTCTCTCCCATTCACTGTCACAGTCACTTCCCTATCACTTTCCTTCCATATATATATAAGGTATCGCACGCGCGAGGCAGAGCGTGTGCTGTGTGTGTGTTGTGTGTGGTGTGTGTGTGTGTGTGTGTGTGTGTGTGTGTGTGTGTGTCTGTGTGTGTGTGTGTGTGTGTTGTGGTGTGTGTGTGTGTGTGTGTGTGTGTGGGGTCTGTGGCTGTGTGAGGTGGTGTATGAGTGTGTGTGTTTGTGGACTGTGGTGTCGTGTGTGTTGGGCGTGTGTGGTGTACTGGCTATTATTATTATTATTATTATTGTTTAATTATCTACAAAATACACAACTGTGTATAGTTTGCATATAGTCGATGTAATTGCCTTTTCGCCAACGGAGGAGTACATTTCTGCTATTCGTAACTATACGTCGGTACAGCCTGGCTGTTGTGTAAAATTCGTAGCTCTCCACCAAATCGTCTCAGGCTTGTTCTGCGGAAAGGGTACTGAAGCTAGTAATTATGGGACGTCCGTATTCCAGGCAATGAACGACCATAGCAACTGTTGCTGAGCAGCGCAATCACCATAAATCGCGACAGATCACGAAAAACAATGTAGCCTAACCAAATATCGAAATTTCATGCGCCAAGAGCATCTGCATGCATGGTATCATTACCTCCAGGCTCCAATACAAACCCGTTTAAAAGGAAAGCAAATATATTTTACCGAATCTACTTGGCATATCCATTTAAAGAGGTCTCTCTTATCGGTGTATTTTACACATATGTACATTATTACAATAGTATAATAAGATATTGTATTATATAACTTTATTTAAACATATTGGTATTTTCTTGTCGAGAGATGCCGCCACCAAAGCAACGTGGTTTTGGGTGCATTGTGGGAATGAATGGTTTGTGTCCGCCATTATGGACAAACAAAAAATATATATTGGCGTGGAAATTATGAACGTTATTTGAATCTACCTATGATGTCTATATTACATCTTTACAAATGATGTTAAAGAAAAGTGTATAAACTGTCGATAGGCGTATACAAGAGCCGTGGCGACGGCCTCATTGTTGAGCATTTAGGTTTTGAACATCGTCATTTCGATTGTGGTGGTGTTCGGGTAAGATGAGTAAATTATCGTTCCGAGCGCGGGCGCTGGACACCGTAAAACCAATGCCAGTTTATAGGGCTGAAGAGATACCGGACCTTCCGGATTTCGCAGCCATAAATAGGGCTGTTCCCCAAATGCCAACGGGAATGGAAAAGGAGGAGGAGTCCGTAAGTCTTGTATCATTTTGTCCCAAACGCCATTTTGGTTAAATCCCAATTCGCATTGTTAAAATTGCCGCGTTTTTCTGTTGTACGATGGTTTCCAAAGCTGTATATTTGTAAAGTGTGTGCTTGATAGGGTACAATTGTACGTCCACAACTAATATCCGCGTGAAGTTACCTAACTTAATAGAAGGTTTATTTCGCGTTTGAATCATTTCAACGGTCACGTGATTGGCTTCCTATGGCGGCTGCCATTTTGGAAAACCATGTGGTTCTAATGGCATACATGTATAATACAAGTAACAAATTTACGGTCTGCTGCACTGTACTGCTGGGGTGTCAACATGTCAACCATAATACATATAATAAACATTATTTACACACGTGAAACCTTGTCGCTAACATCTTTTAAACACTTCAAATTTGTCATTTTAGTATAGATAGCGATAAATTACTCGCGTTAAGGCGTGGGTGCGCTGTAGCTACAGGCCGAACTGAAATTGTAGGCAGTGAGAAACCAACTCGCTCTCGGTTCTATTGTTTGTAGTAAAAGTTACCTGCATTTTTCGAAAGATTTAAATAATACAATACGTTGGATTTAAAGAGATTTACCGGTAATCATTGCTGCTATTTCAGTGCAGTTTCAGATCATGCTCTTGCACATATTTGCAGGCACGAATGTAGACAAAAGGGATGCATAGCACGTGATAGTCCCAGTCTAATTGCTTCATTTTGACGAAACTTAATGCAATTTTACCAGAGCTCTAGACTTGGTTGAGCTGAGAGGGTCTATGTCCCCCAGGGTACTGCCGAAACGTACCCTGGGTACAGTCCGGTATACCGGAACATACCCTGGTACTAAATACTATACTATCTAATATGCCGGACCGTACCTCGCCTACTCCATTAACGAGTCTAGGGAGTTGCCTACTCCCTAACCCTAACACTAACCCTAACGCTAACCATATCAGCTAGATAGTTACTAGGGTACGTTCCGGTATACCGGACCGTACCCAGGGTAGGTTCCGGCAGTACCCTGGGGGACATAGACCCTATGAGCCTTAGTTTATTTTTGGCTTTATTGCCTCAGTTTTCACTGGTTAAAGTGATTACGTCACGAATTTCTAGCACCATCAAGTAGAATATTTGTGTGTTATTTGTACAAAATAAAATGTATGAAAATACAATTAGTGTTTCTGTTTACTTTTCATGCTTATATATACCTTCTTTATATGCCCTAATTTGCCGGTGAAAACCAGAGAGACGCCAGTATCTGAACAGTACTGGGGGAATAGTGTTAGACAACAGAAATTACCAAGTTGTCTAGATTTTTGCAAATTTAACCAACGTAAAAACATTTCTATCAGGTGAGAGTTTGATGATATATTTAGTAACGTTAGTTCTTACTTTTAATGTAAAAAAATGGGAATTATATTTTTTTTAAATTTTACCATGGAAAATTCGTGACGTAGTTAGCTCAGGTTGCCCTACGATTTGACTATCGGCGACTACTTTATCGCCGATTAGCAGCGTAGCAACACTCACGTAGACTTGAAGTGACTTCTCACTGTACATTGCCGATCAGATCGTAGCGTTCTGCAAGAAACATAGACGGGTTCGCGGCCCCAGTATTTGTACTAGCACAAGCAGAGCAAGCTTGACGCCGGGACCAGTCTACATAAATCAAGTCACATGACCAACAAAATGGCGCTTACCAGTTAACATCAGGTAACTTCGTAAATTTATCCTCAATTTTCTGAAAATCGTTATAATCATGTGCAGAAAAAGAATTAAAAAAATTACCTGTGATATACGGAAAACTTAATATATATTTGAGAAAGGGTTTGTGCAATAATCCCTCCTTGTAAACTGCTGTGTAGGCTGCCATTTTGTTAATCACGTGACTTTTGATAATCATGTGACTCGACACGTAGCAATGATTGACGTATGATCTTCAAATTTTGTCGGCGACTACGTCGTAAGGGCGACCTGAGTTGGCCTTAAGAATAATTGAAATTCATAAGGTTTATTCAAATTGATTAGGTGACACATATTTTTACTATTTTGCAAGCCTATCTCAGAAAATGGTTTGGTAGCTTTAATTTTCGATCAAACTAACTAAAATACGTGTATGTATATTCTTAACATGTACATAGCAACACTTTCATACCTTTCATGCAAGGTGCTTGTATAGGAGAAATCCCTTCGCCTAAAAATTAAGTCCTTTCGCTCAAAAAATTATGTAAGAATTTATGCCTTTGGTATTAAGAAATAATTCATATAATTTTCATTCCTATGTATTGTATGTGTAATAGATTTATAGTACTTGCAAATTGATCTGTTAAAAAAATGTTTCACTTTAAAATTACACAAGTCATTAAACAAAAAATTACAGTCATATGATTACAACACAAATGCATGCATGTATGCGCACACACCAAACATGATATTGGAGAGTCAACGCAAGCAATCCCGCCACCCATATAAATAAGTAAACACGAATAGCTATACTTTAATATTTAGTACATTGCACTTTTTAATAACTATTAAACTGCAAAAAAATTGTGTATGATGATTAACAGATGTTTAATAAAAGATGGTGTTAAAAGCCATGTAAGTGTTGTTCTGTAATTAATGAATAAAATTACCTGTTTGTTTTGTATCTAGGAGCATCACCTGCAGCGGGCAATGTCGGCACAGCAGGTGTATGGTGAGACAGGCCGGCTGATTATTCCAACCCCGGATGTTTACGAAGACATTGCCTGCTACGAATGCCTTTACGAATCGAACTACAAGCCTGCTAAGCAACTTATTCACATCCAGGGTTGTACGTAGCATAATCCTGTATCTAATATGAGTAATTTGCTGTGTGCAATTAAAGTAATTGTAGTGTGATTGAATTAAAGTAATTGCAGCCACTTTATTTAAAGAAAACGTTTTCAATAACTGATTAACTGTGAAGAAATTATTTAATTATCATATTCTAGATGCTTAAATTGACATTTACTTAAAGATGAGAATGTGGTGTGCATTTTTAACCAGTTGGCTACAGTAAGAATCGACGGCTTCTTTAATCAACAAGTTGGAGTGTTTGCCTGTTTTGAATGTGACAAAAATGACATTCCAAGTCGAAGATCAGCATATATCTAAATAATTTTAATCGTGTAATTTCTTTTCCCTATTTAGCTGTTTTTTTTGTATGTCGATAGCATTAAACATGATGGACCAGGAGATGCCAGACTATGATATGGATTCCGAAGATGAGACGTGGTTGAATAAACAAAAGAAGAAGATGGAAATTACTCCATTGCAGTTTGAGGAAATGATAGACCGACTAGAGAAGGGAAGTGGACAGCAGGTATGCAAGTGTTTTATTATTATTTAAAGGAATAATAGGTCCATTGATTATGCAATGTTGACGAATGCTAGAGTAACTGGCACTTTGTGTAGTTAATAAGTACATTACCTTATAGCCAAATGCGTATTAGTTTGTCCAATATCACTGCTGGTTACATTTCAAACAAGACTTGAAATCGGTTGCTGATATGTATCAACGTATCATTTACGTGCCGTAAATGTCATCCAGGAGTCGAGCGATGACGTAAACATTTGTGCGGCCTGTATGTTTTGGACGCCAGATGAAACGGAGGTGTCAGCGGTGTAACCACAGCCATGGACTAAACATGGAAATAGAGTAAAACACACATACTAATCACGGACGCACGTGGACAGCCCTGACAAAATGTTCCTTATCACGAGTCACGTTTACGAAATCACTGATGATAGCATTGCGTACGGCCGAGCATGCGTGCAAAAATGTCCGGTGCACTATAAATCTGTATCACACCCGCTTCGCTGGCAGCGGTTTGAAACTGTAAACAACTGATTTTTGGACTGCGGATTTCAATTAGACGTTTCTTATACCAACAGTGATATTGGACAAACTAATATGCGCTATGTATAAGGTAATGTACTTATTAACTATACAAGGTGCCAGTTACTCTAGCATTCGTCAACATTGCATAATCAATGGACATATTATTCCTTTAAATGCAATGCGACAAAAGTGATAAATGCCAGTTAATTAAATAGTGTAGTTGCTTAATGGTTTTTTACATGTAATTTACATATAATTGAAAAATATATTTTCTTCAGGCAGATGGAATGATAACTAACTGTGGGTTGACGTTTACTAAGCTTAGTGTACTCAAAATGTCGCGAATTTTTTTTTTAGGTTGTAACAGACAAAGAAGCCAAGTTGTTGCTGAAGGAAGATGATGACTTGATTTTAGCTGTGTATGACTATTGGTTGAACAAACGGTTAAAAATGGTAATGTTGCTTTCATCTTTTGAGTAATATTATGTTGCATTGGTGATGTCTCTATGCATCTGTTTAGCATGTATGCAATAAGGTGGCTGTTCAACGTATTAACTCCCAGTCTGTGCGAAGTTGTGCACATTAATAGTAATATTGGCAAATTGTAAGTGATTACCCAGTTGTCATGTACAGTGGTGTTGTGTCGGGAGTATTCAGGTAGGCAGCATAATTTGTAAAGTTTTGAACTGGGTATTATTCTTGCAGAAACATGCATTAATACCTCAAGTAAAGACCGAAAAGAGGGACGGCTCTACGACCAACAACCCGTACGTGGCGTTCAGACGGCGGACGGAGAAGATGCAGACAAGAAAAAACAGAAAGAACGACGAGGCCTCTTACGAAAAGATGCTCAAACTCAGACGGGACCTTAGCAGGGCTGTGTAAGTTGTACAATTTGCTTTTTATGCACAAACAAAAAATCGTAGTAGATGAGACAAAAGATGTGACGGAAGTAGATGTAAAAAAAGAAGTAATAAATGAGTAGTCAGTAGATTTAGTAGTGATGTCACAATCATCGAGTATACTCGATCATCGGTTGAACAGTGACTCGAACAAGCGCTTGGTTATCAAAATCCATAATCAATTTCATCGAAAAAAATAAATAAATTTGAAATAAATGTAAAACTTGAACAAGAAAACTTGGAAAAGTGATGAGAATCAGAGGTATCATCGCTACTATACAAGTTATCCTTTATTAACATACATGTATTATACACACAGTAGTAAACAGTGCAAAACAAACAGTAAACAAGGCTAAACAAGCACATACATGCACACAACGTTACGTACACGCAGGCATTCAACACCCCGAGTAACCGATTGTAACCGATCATCGGTTACTTGGGTCCAACCGATGATCGATTACGAAATTACAACCGATTGACAACACTAATATTTAGTTGTATGTGTTTATAAGGGTTACACGATTCACCCAAATCCACCCAAATCCACCAAATCCACCCCAAATCCACCAAATCCACCAAATCCACCCCA